GCATTTTATCAGGAGCTCTGGGAATCGCCGATGCTTTCCAGGAAGGATGTCCCTTTGCCCCCCCCCCATAACTAAGAGTTGGGCAAAACGTGACTGAGAGACAAAAATAAGACCCCATACAATATATGTCATAAGTGTATCCAGATTTGTTTTGGAACCATTGAGTGTCTTTTCTTTCATGATGCCTGACCTAATTCTACAGATAGTTCCTGCTAGCCTCTGTTTTTCTTTGCCCATAGCATTTTGTCTTAAGAACTTTGTTCCAAACTTATGTTTAAGGACACAGCATAATAAGCATATCTTCTGTAGTGGGTTAGGGCTAAAAATGCAGCAACACTTTCACTTCAGAGGAAAATGTAATTCTTGGGCTGTTGCAAAGTCTGACTCATAAAAGTTAAAAAAAAGAGACGACTGCATTGATCTTCAAAACCTGGTGCATGTAAAGCATTGGAGGATGTCTCTGTGGAACTGTGATCTAAACAGACATTATTCTGTGTAATCTGTCTAGGCTCTTACTGTGGTACGTGGGTGTAACATATTGTACATTACTATTTTATAATGTTAATTAACGCTACTGAGGCACTACTAGTGCTTTCTGGCATGCATCAGTGGATGTACTTGACAGTTATAAACAGACATATGGAGCAGGAAAAACAGGGGCACACCTTTTTTAAAAAACAGCATTCCATGCCATGGGGATTTTTTTTTTTTTTGAGGGAAAACTAAATATTTTGCCAGCACAAATTGTTTTGAGTGAAGGCCCCATCTAGCAGTTGGCAAGAGAGAGTAGAAAGAGAATTATCCATGTTGTGGTTTTTTTGTGGTGTTCCATCTGTGTTGGAAGAATGCATGCGAGTTGTTTGACAACTGTTGTGGCATGAGCTGGGCGCAGAGTGTTGTGGTGTGCACCCTAGCTGTGCCTCCAAATGTCTTTTCTTGTCTTCACATGCAAAAGGTCTAAACGTAAGCTATTGTTCACAACCTTTGGGTGGGGATAGAAGGAAGGTCTTTTACCCAGAGGGTGTTTCCAAGGTTTCCTCACAACATTGCCTGTCTCAGGGGTGGGCGGACTTCAGGGCAGAGGGATCTTCTTTGTTTTGTTTTTTTACTAGAATCCCGAGATCCATCAATTGGAACAAAGTACAAGAGGCGTACAAGGAACCTTGAGCCCATTAATTTTCCTCTGAGCACTAGAACCGAACACACTTTCAGTCCTTCAACACAAAAATCCATTCCTGGTTACCTACTCACCCCAGTTTCTTCATTTAAGCAGCATAATATTGTGTGTGTGTTCTGGGGTCATTTTGTTGCTGACATTGTCAAACCATTGTGAGTCAGACATCCTTGTCAATTTACTTCAAATTACACAGAGATCAGGAGCAGCTGGTGTGGAGGCCTGGTGCGCAGGAGCCATCCAACCAGTAGCAGTGTCAGTGGTGCTTACCTGGATGGGGCAGGCAGGGCAGCAGCGAGGTCAGAGCTACCAAGGCACACCAGCTGAGCCAATCCAGCACTGTTGCTTTTGTGCCTGTGCAGTCACAACCTTACTACCACCATGCCCCATTCAAACAAGCAGCAGCAACATCCCTGTCAAGAGAGTGGCTTGGCTTCACCACCCTTCCATGTCAGCTGCTCCTGCCAGACATACCAGGAGTAGATTCATATCTCCCTTCTATCACCCCCTGCTAAACTACAGTGGTACCTCGGTTTTTGAACATAATCCGTTCTGGAAGACCGTTTGAGTTCTGAAACGTTCGAAAACCGAATACAGAAAACTCAATACGGAAGCAGTGTGGCATGTTCGACTCTTGAGGCGTGTTCGAAAACCATTTACTTCTGGGTTTATGGCTTTCAAAAACCGAAATGTTCGTCAATGGAGACGTTTGAAAACCAAGGTACCACTGTATGCCAATGAGTAGAAAATATCACTGAGGGGTGTCATCTTCTATAGCAGAGGTCAGCAAACTTTTTCAGCAGGGGGCCGGTCCACTGTCCCTCAGACCTTGTAGGGGGCTGCACTATATTTTGAAACAATAAAATAAAATGAACGAATTCCTATGCCCCACAAATAACCCAGAGATGCATTTTAAATAAAAGCACACATTCTACTCATGTAAAAACACACTGATTCCCGAACTGCCCGCGGGCCGGATTGAGAAGGCGATTGGGCCGCATCAGGCCCCCGGGCCTTAGTTTGCCTACCCATGGTCTATAGGTTTTAGCACAGGGGTCAGCAACCTTTTTCAGCCGTGGGCTGTCCACCATCCCTCAGACCATGTGGTGGGCCGGACTATATTTTGGAAAGAAAAAAAAGAACGAATTCCTATGCCCCACAAATAACCCAGAGATGCATTTTAATAAAAGCACACATTCTACTCATGTAAAAACACCAGGCAGGTCCCACAAATAACCCAGAGATGCATTTTAAATAAGAGGACACATTCTACTCATGTAAAAACAAGCTGATTCCCAGACCGTCTGTGGGCCGGATTGAGAAGGCGATTTGCCTTAGGTTGCCTACCCCAGTTTTAGCATCTTGCTGTTCAGCTGTTTGTTTGTTTCCCCCCCCAGAGGTGCTTGCTACAATCTTGCTTGCAAACCAAGTATTTTGTTTGCAGAAAAATGAGTATGAAAACTAAGTTGCAAGCAGTAAACTGCTCACATATTTTCTTGTTTCATAATCCTATTTTGTTTATCCACATTTCAAAAAGTCATTAATATCTTATTCTTATAACATAAAGAAAGGTGCTGCTGCCACTTAGTACTGCCCAACAGAATCTTCTCAGTAGCAGCCCCTCACTTATGGAATGCCCTCTGTCCCCTTCATTATTTGAGTATATATTAATATTCATGCAGGCATTTAATGGTTGTAAGAAAATCTCCCTGCCAGCCTTGAAATTATTTAGCAGTGAGTATATTTGATTGTGTTGAAATGTTTGAATTGGTTCCATTGTTTGCTGCCCTTAGGCTACGCTAAGAGGAAGGGTGGGATAAAAATAATAATAATCTATTAACTAAACAAATAATGATGCACAGAGCCACTCAACACATATCCGAAAGCAGCTTGCTCCTGTGAATGGGATGCTTACAGCTGAAGGCTCCCAGCACAGTAGTATGCATGCAATGGCCTCATTTCCAAGCCCTAATTTAGAACCCTTGTGTCACACCTTCTGCAGTAGTGAGAAGACAGCAGGGAAACTCCAGAAAAACTAGTTTGGGAGAGTAAAGGAGTGGCAAAGACCATCGTTGTGGAAGCAAGGAATAAATTACGCAGTATAGTATAGAAAATCATAATATATGGTAGCTGAAAACCTGGAGGAGCAGGAAGTATTTTGGAAGCGACCCATCCTGCCTGCCTAGAAACTGCTCTCCACATGTTCAAAGGCAGTTTTATTATTATATCCACGCAGCCAGACATAATGTCATTGCCAACTTCTGTTATTTAGAGGCAGGTTCCACAACTGAGCCCTGGCTCAAATGAAGCCCTGCGCATGTAATATGATTGCTATTACTGTATTACATTTATACCCTACTTTTTCTCCATTTTTATCCTCACAACAACCCAGTAACTGGCCCAGTGAGTTTCATGGCTGAGTGGGGCTGTGAACCCTGGTTTTCCCCGCACGCTCCACAGGCTCAGCGCTCTAGCAGCAAAGCCACATTCAGGAGAGGATGGCTATTCTTGACCGCCTGGGTTTGCGGCCGCTACCGACAAGCTTAAACCCTGCGACCCGAGCCATGCGCGCGCAGCTCCCCCTGGCGGCCATTGAGAGAACCCTCGGGATCCCGAACACTAACCGGCTTCCGGTTTGAGTTGGAAATTTCATTTTGCGCCGGGCAAGCAGAGCTGCGAGAGCGCAGCGCTTCTGCACGCGAGCCGGTGGCGCATTAAATTGCCAGCAGCCAAGCGCCGGTTTGGGGGCTGAACGACTGAATTGCAACCCCAGGTGCTACGCAACACAAAAGTCCCGTCGCAGCGTTTTGAAGGACAACCGTGGGGATTCCGGTACACCCGCTCCCGCCGGCCCCAGCCAACGCGGCCGGTGGTCAGGCATGATGGGAGTCGGAGTCCGTCCACATTAGGAGGTCCGCGCCGCGCCGCCGCTGCTTCAGGGAATCGGAGAATCATACAACTGTATAGTTGGAAAGGGGTTCCGAGGGTCATCTAGCCCAACCCACTGCCGCACAGGAGCCTTTTGTTCAACTTGGGTCTCGAACCTACGACCTTAAGATTTAAGTGTCTCTTGCTCTACCAACTGAGTAGAGCAGCGTGGAGGCCATTTCTGAGATCAGCCTCCTCGGATGCTTTGTCACCCGCGGAGGATGAGGAGGATGAGAAGGGCTTTTCGCCGGCAGGAAAGCAGCCGCTGGAGTCCCCAAAACAGGCCAATCGGGAAAGAGTTAATCCGCCCCGCTCCTCCCTGGCACTGTGGCCGAGATCAGCTTCCCAGCCCCTGCGAGGACTACGGACCGAGCGGCCAAGGTGGGCTAGATGTTTCCAAAGCACACAAGATTGCTCCTCCTCCGCCTCCTTTCCATGTGGGAATCATAACACAGAATATGGAGAATCGTAGGGTTGGACGTTGGGCGACATTGCAGCTTTTGTTGACAATCCCCTTTCAGCCTCATTTGCGCCTCCAGTTTACAATCCCAGCAGCGGGCTACCCGGCAGGGGGGTCGCTAGCCATTAGTTCTCAGACACTGTTCCCTAAATCTGCAGCTAACGGAGCTCTTATATATTGCATTTGGGTTGGCCATTTTTAACGCTTAAAAACGTGTTGCTTTAACAAAGAAAACCACATAGATTTCAGAAACCTTTTTTGGGGGGGGGTCACAGGCGGACCCGCCACCCCCCGGCCTCCCCCCTTGCTTTCTTAATGGCAGCTGTCGCTTTGCCCCGCAGGAGGGGGGGGGAGAAAGGGAGGGAAATGGCGTCAAAAGCATCCAGGAAGTCCCGTCATTAGACCATGAAATCATCACTCTACTTTCCCCCCCTTTTTACAAAGTCTACGCTGGTGGGCGCTTTCCCTCGCCTGCCCGGCTTGCCTTGGGCCCGGGTCCTCCTGCCGGCGAGTGACGCTCTAGGCTGCGTCCGCCCGCTCGCTGCTCCCAGCGTCCCCGGCCGGAGCTGGACTTGGGGAGAAGGGGCGGCGGCGGCGGCGGCCACTCTGCTCCCCCCGCTGCTGACGGCTCCCTCCGCGCCTGGACAACGCCGCAGGTACGGAATAATCTCCCCTCTCTGCCCCCGGCCAGCCGGCGCGGAATCCCTAGGCCAGGCTCTCGCGCAGGTCCCGGGTCACCCCTCCCCTCCCTCCCCAGGACAGCAAGCCTCCCCCCGCACCTGCCATATCTCCTCCACAGCCCAGCATTCATTCCCATTATCCATTACTATTATTACCCTCCTTTTCAAGTCATGCCCCCCTCCCCCCCCATACATGGGCACCTCGCACGCCTGTTTTCCTCGTGTGCTCACCTGCAGCCTGCCTCTCAGGGGTCGCCTCCCCCCAATAATCTCCCCCTCCCTTCACCATCTATCTCCCAGGGTTTGCATCCTTTTTCATGGTTGCTCTTCACCTCTCAGCCATTGCACTATTATTGTGCAATTATTGTACTATTATTGCCAAGCAAATAACAGTCAAGCAAACACCTCGTTCCCTCGCATGCAAGTGATGAATCACTGTAGTTGGTGTGCTATCCTGTAACTCTCTGTGACGCTGCTCTCACCCTGCGTCCCTGGTTGTGTGAACGCGTCTGGAGGGTTTTTCCTGCTTTCCCGGACTAAACACTGAAGGCAGTTGCTGGAGCCCCCTTTTTTTTTGCATAGGAGTACATTTCCCCAGCCCTGCCCAGCAGAAGGGTGGCACTTAGGATGTTCTGCATCTTTCTTCCTTGTCAATCACCTTGGCTTGCTTTGGCTTTTTATATTTCCTTTCACTCATTTCTTGTGTATTGCTGCCTTTTCCACAAATGCTTTATCGTCGGATGTCAGGACCGACATTGAATGCTGAGCCAGATCCTTGGGTTAGCAGTGCTTTCCTTGACTGGCAGTTGCTCTCTAGGATTTGGAACTAGTTAAGCATGCTAATTTTTCAATGTTTATCAAGAAGCAAGTCCTTTTAAGACATCACAAAGTTTGCATACAGCTGCTCCATGTATAGTGGGAAGGGAAGCTAACCTGTGATGGTTCAGGAGCTCTGAAGAAGCAGATCAGAATAAAAGGGTTTCCAAGCAAGGTATGGCTCACCGTGCAATCCTATGCATAGCTACATACTCTTAGTGAATTCAATGGGACTTACTCCTAGGTAGGTTTATATCGGATTGCAGTTTCAGACATGTTTTGGATTGGAATGATACAAGTGGTACCATTTTCCATTTATATCTATATTTCTAAATATATCGGCACTTTGGGGAAACTTGCCTTGATAACTGTGATGAGTGCATTACAGATGCTAAGTAGTGCAAAGGCCATTGGCTAAAAGCAATAAATATGACTGACAGTCATATCCTAGGCTCAGAATAATTTATGCAAATTAATCAGATTTCAGGGGTCAGTCTTTCAAATGATTTCTATTTTTTTGTCAAGGGTTTTGGTGGCATAAAGCAGGAAGGGAGGGGAACCAAGACTGGGCGGCAGTAGAATTGGGGTGCAGGTAAAGTATCCAGAGAGTTGTCCAGGGCCCAGAAACTCTGTTATTCTGATCAGTAGAAACTTCACATATTATTATTTTAATGGGCAAAACTAGATTTGAATGGTATAAAAAATAAGCCACTTGTACATTGCTGAAAACCATTGACTTGGAACCAATTGGAGTTCTCTGTGAAGTGGTTTTAAAAATTAGAGTTGTGTATCTTTCAGCCATGGCTTTAATGGGAATGCAGTTCTGATTTATAACATGTGCAAATTGAAACATTGAAACTGTACATGCCCTTAGTGTCCAATAGATACAACCAACATAGTTTCCAAATTTCCCTTGGAGCCATGAGGGTTTTACACAAAGCCACTGCTGTGATTCTCAACTCCAATTTTTGCAGTAGCTAACCATTAAATCATCAAATTGTAATGTTGGGAGGGACCCTGAGGGTTATCTTGTCCAACCTCCTGCAATGCAGGAATCTCAACTAAAGCATCCGCAACAGATGACCATCCAGCCTTTTAAAAATGTCCAAAGAAGGAGAGCCCACCACCTTCCGAGAGACTCAGCTCCACTGTCAGACAGCTCTTACCATCAGAAAGTTCTTCCTGATGTTTAGTCAGAATCTCCTTTCTTGTAACTTGAATCCATTGGTTTGGATCCTACCCTCCAGAACAGGAGAAAACAAGCTTGCTTCATATTCCATGTGACAGCCCTTTAGATACCGGTATTTAGATGTTAGATAACCAATTCTGTAATCTTACAAACCCAGAGGATATGCAAGAACCCTGAGTATATCCTTCGCTTGTGGTCTGCTTGAGAGCCATATAATTATTTGAAATTAACATTAGTTCAGTGCTAGTGAACTCTATCTGCTTTCACTTTTTGCAAATACAACCAGTGAAACAAGAAAAGGTGGTTCAGTTAGCTATTCAGGTGTCAAAAGCAAATGTGATGTCTTGACATCAGTATTTGTTTGTGTACAGGCTGCTGGAATCTTCAGTTGATAGAGAGAGCAGTTGTCGCAGGGTTGTTGTTGTTTAGTCGTTTAGTCGTGTCCGACTCTTCGTGACCCTATGGACCAGAGCACGCCAGGCACTCCTGTCTTCCACTGCCTCCCGCAGTTTGGTCAAACTCATGCTGGTAGCTTCGAGAACACTGTCCAACCATCTTGTCCTCTGTCGTCCCCTTCTCCTTGTGCCCTCCATCTTCCCCAACATCAGGGTCTTTTCCAGGGAGTCTTCTCTTCTCATGAGGTGGCCAAAGTACTGGAGCCTCAGCTTCAGGATCTGTCCTTCCAGTGAGCACTCAGGGCTGATTTCCTTCAGAATGGATAGGTTTGATCTTCAGGTGAATATTGAAAGATGTATTCAGGAACATGAAATTGAAATAGGTAGCAAATAAAACACTTAATTTCACTACCATAGATCAACTGACTTTAAGATGTATTTTACATCATTTGTTTTGTGAAAAGGACTCATTTATATATTCAGGACAGATTGTCTGTCAAAAAAAGAAATTCTTCTCCCACTGAGGGGAATGGGAAGTGTCCCCCCCAGAAGTTCCTGGGGAGCATTTTGAGAGTGGGATGGCTCCTCCCATCTTGCAAACCATGGCTAAGGAAACTTGGTTTTTGTTAGTGCATTGTAGCATGGAACCATGGTTAATGCCGGGAAGGAAATAAGGAAATTGTTTGCAGGAAACAAATGTTAATTATCTACAAGACTGAAGTGTTTGAAGACAGTTTTTAACTGTCTTAAAATGAGAAAGGAACTTTGTTGAGTGCTAGACACATAACTGATGCATACAAGTTCTGTAATACAAATTTATGTTTGAATATACTACTACTTTGACTGATGAGACCTGCTTGTGTTGTTGCCAGGTCCCCTCTCATTACTCCACTGGGCAGTTGACAGCTTTTTAATCCTAAATATAAATTGGGAACTTTGAAATACAGTGGAACCTCGGTTTTCGAACAGCTTGGCTTCTGAATGTTTCGGAAGTTGAACGCCGAAAACCCAGAAGTGAATGCTTCCATTTTCAAGCACGCCAGTTGAATGGCTTCTGAGGCACGTTTCTCATTTTTTCCCCATTCAGGCTTTATGTCTGAAGCAAGTTACCATATATTAATTAACATGATGACAGAGAAAAGGGAAGTGTATCATTCTGAAGGCACTTCCTGTTGCATAGGTTGAGCTCTGTTACGATGCAATGGTAACTCTTTCCTGTGCTGATCCCGTGGGAAATAGCTGCCAGCAGAACAATTTTAAAGTAGCAATCATCTGTAAATATTTTGTGTGGAAGCAACTTAGAGGTTTAAATAAAAAGTAACATTTTGATACCTTTTATCAGCTTTCAGTTGCGATGCCACATCCCTTGATGTTTTTAGCGATGAATCGGCTAATTTTTTTCAAAAGAGTTGATAATGTTTCACTTGAAATTCATTAGTGTATCGCAACCCTACTTTTCCTCCTTACATGCTAGGTTGAGACTGGTGCGCTTTGTACATGATGCCACTGTGAAAATATTCTGAGTCATGTTCAGGGTATAACCTGAAGAACTTCTCTGTAAGATACAGTAGTGATGTTTGTTGTATATTAATTGGTTACAGAATGTTTGGCACTTCATGCCTGTGCAAAGGAAATATAATTTACAGCCAAGCCGGAGGCACCAGGAAAAACAGCCAACAAAAACATGGAAGACAGGTGAGCTTCCAGAGGATGGAAAAAGGCAGGCACTATTCCTGATGATAAACTAAGACACTAGAGGCTTTTTAGTTTGCTTTTCATCTTAATTTTTTTAATCAATCATTTTACTGAGAGCAGGAGGAGTTTTCATTCATGGCCAGGAAGTGGAGCAAATCACTCAAGGAATTTCTGGAATCCAGAGCATTAGGAAATTCTAAAACTCTGGTTGATAAAAATGATCTTACGATCCTCTTTAGACCTCAGGTGTGTTGTAATTTCTTGAATGACTAAGTTGGCTTGTCTACATTTTCTCACTTATACTAATTTGCCTTGCTGAAATCCCATTGCTCGTTTATTAAAAATTACCCACCATATTCCACACTAGTCTGTGTATATTTCTTACTTCTCAGTTCTAATTGGCTTATGGCTTTCAAACTTTCTACCTGGTTGAAATGCTTCCCACATCAACTTCTCTGCCAAGGAACACCTGCACAGGATTTTGGGAAGCTTTTTGAGAGGGACAAACTCAGTTCATAAGGGACACTGGAGAAGACTATTAGACCTCAAGGTTGCCCCATGAACTGTGCGTGTGCCCTTAAAGACACCCAGCATTTCCCTGGGGCAGCACATTATAAGGGGAAATCAGTAGTAATGGGAAGGAAGTTTTTCTGTCACTACTGGTCTTTTCCATTGCAAGAACTCCTGATACACTTCTTAGGAACCTCTGTTGTCCCTCAAAACATGTTTGAAAAACCACTGCTTTGTGCTAAGGTTATTCAAAAGTATGTGTTATCTGAGCTTTAGACCAGCTACTAACTTATTTTATACAAATACTGGGCCAAAATTATGTGTGGTACCTATTTATCTACTTGCACTTTGATATGCTTTCGAACTGCTAGGTTGGCAGGAGCTGGGACCGAACAACAGGAGATCACCCTGTCGTGGGGATTACTTCTGCAATAACTACTGTATTTTTTGCTCTATAAGATGCACCAGACCACAAGACGCACCTAGTTTTTGGAGGAGGAAAGCAAGGGAAAAAAAAATCTGAATCTCAGAAGCCAGAACAGCAAGAAGGATCGCTGCACAGTGAAAGCAGCAATCCCTCTTGCTGCTCTGGCTTCTGGGATAGCTGTGCAGCCTGCATTCGCTCCATAAGACGCACACACATTTCCCCTTACTTTTTAGGAGGGAAAAAGTGAGTCTTATAGAGCAAAAAATACGGTACTTGATATATGGGTGTGGGCCAACCTCTATGGAAGGTGTTCAGCTGCAGCTTGGCTGCCTGAGGCATGTAAATGAAGGAAGCCACAACTTAAGATCTATTAGCACAATTCTGTATATGTCTACTCAGAAGTTCCATTGACTTCAGTGGGGCTTACTCCCATGTCAGTGAGTATTGGGTTACATTCTAAATCGCCTAGATATGAGGCACTCATGTTTTCAGGGATGAGTGCATTTTAAAGTAGCAATTGAAAATTTCACTTTTATCAAATATCCGTGTTCAAATGGATACAAGAAAAATGTATTTTATATTACTTATAGTCTCTGAATTAAAGTTAGATCTCCTTTAATCAGTCAGATATGGTCCAATAGTAGTTTTATTCAAAACACTGATTTGTCAGAAGAGGAAGAGAAATACTAATTGCAAAAAAACCGAGCTGTTCTGAAACAACGACATTATGCTGTAAATCGTTGTACTCAACTATGTTGAGAATGCTATCCAAATAAAAATGCATGTGAGAAATACCATTAGCTTTTAGCCCAAACCCCCAGTCATAACCCAGACAGTTAAAACTAAAATAGACAACCCTTAGGGCACAAAGGTTTAGTCACTGGAAGGGCACCCTAAGAGCCGTAGGTTTTTGTGGATAGTCCTATCTGTGGCCAGAGAGAGGTCTGCCCTTGGAAGTTCCCTTCCAGCCTTCACAAAAAGAACCACTGCCATTGCCTTTTACTGACAGTCTACCCTGACTGGTGTGAGACCAGTAAAACTACACAGACTCTCCCCCACCTGCCCTCATTGAATTGCTTTGTCTGTAACTATTAGAAGCCAAGTGATGCCTCGAATGCACTTGTACAGAGAACAGGGTGTCTGCTCCTAAATGGCATCTGAACCTATGAACAAACCCTGCCTGATAGAACAAAATGGAGCACAACATCATTTCACTCTGGATCCCTGGGTCATTTTCCAAAGGCAATTTCTTTTCTTGCTTTTATGCAAAGGTTCATAGTGAGAAACTGAATTAAGGCTAGAACATAGTAAAGGTGAAAGTGATACTGTTGCCAATCCAAGCTTTCATTTTAGGGTGAATTGCTATCCATTGTATTCTGATAGACAAACTTTTAAAAGTGATGACAAACCTTACTGATACAATTTTACTTTACAGTAAATAATAGTAATAGGCAACCCTTTAAAAAATGTGATAACAAATAATGCAAATTCTGAATGCTGCATTCTTTTAAATATTCTTTCTCTTTCTCTTGATTCCGTTCTCTGTACCAGGTGAAGGATGGCACAGTTCCTCTGAAGCTGTAGGCAACGTCTTGACATCCTGGTTACCATGACACCCAGCAGAGGACTGTGGGGGGAAAGTGGGAATTGCTCCCCTCCCCTTAAATGCTACTAATGGCCATGGCTAGGTAAGGATTAAGCAAGGCATTAAGATTCCAGAGCTTTCTTTCCTCATTTATGTTTCATCTCTGAAATCCTACCCTAAGGTTTGACAGTACTATCCTCATGGAGTGATTCTAAATATAGAAAGCAATTAAATTGTCCCCAAATGGTTGTGCCATTGTTTTGGTCTTTTCCTTAGCGTGGACGGAATACGAACATTCCTCAATTTCAAAATAATCTCACTTGCGAAACACAAATTCCCTTGCAGCCACTCTGTGATGCTGCTCACATGGAGTGACAGTAATTCTGAAATGTTTCCAAGGCTTGGCAGAGGGGAGGTGGCTTGTGTTTTGCTTTTCTTCAAGCTGTGTTTGGAGGGCTGGAAATCTTTTTCTCCTTACATTCTAGGATTTGCCCAGTGTGCTGACATCATGGGGAGTTGCTGTAGCTGCCCATGCAGAGACAGTGTTCCAGATCACCACCCCACCAAGTTTAAGGTAACATGCTTATTCATCCTACTCAAAGTGTTCTACCACTAGAATTATTCAAAGTTAGTTAAGGCACACAAAACTTCATGCCATCAAGGTATTAGAGTAGTTAAGGGCAGCCATTTCTACAGAGGAGACAATTGAAATCCTTCTGTGGTTTTGCATTGCTACCCCTTGAGTTTGGAAAGGTTCCTGTTCTCTGTGTGTTTTATTTGGTAGTAGTGTAGAGGTTATGCTGTTCAGCTTCCCAGTTAAGTTGCCTCTTAGTAGATAATAAAAAGCAAGGAAAGCTATCTTGGTCCGTAAGAAAAATACACCCCAACACACATTTGGCTTACTATCTAGCCTGATGAAGAGTTATGAAAAATCTGAAAGCTTGCTCGCTGTTTTGTGACATTTTAGTTGAACCTCACTCTGGCTCTTGAAATTACTTATGAGATCAGTCACTTTAATGGCTCATTCCACTCAGTAGTTTTAGTTATTAGGCCAGTGTTGGCTAGTAAGTCTTGGGTTAGCTTGTAATAGGGATATAGCTTGAGTACAAGTATAGCCATTAATAGAGGCAGGAGTCTCTTGGGGTATAGAATAACAACTCTTGTGCCTAAAATCTTGTTGTGGACTGGGCTAGCAGCCTCCAGGTACATTGAACTGACTGATATATTTCCCTGACAGCAAAGTCATCCCAAAAGAAATTCACCATTCTACAAGAGCCAAAGTAATTGTATCAAGGAGATACCGTTGGGACTGTGTTTTGCTATGCAAACACAACCCACTTGAATGTTGTTTTATATGGTATTTGTTCTGCCCACTAAGGTGCAATTTGGCATAATGCCTGGAGCTCCTGACAACAGGTTTTGGTGTTTCTGCAGGTGACAAATGTTGACGATGAGGGCAACGAGCTGGGCTCGGGGATTATGGAGTTGACACAGAGGGAGCTTGTTTTGCACACACACAAACGTGATGCTGTTCGGTGGCCATACCTCTGCTTGCGACGCTATGGCTATGACTCCAACCTCTTCTCCTTTGAGAGTGGGCGCCGCTGCCTGACTGGACAGGGTATGTGCATTTCTCAGCAGGGACAGTGGCTTCAAAATGTTCTTGCTACAGAAGGCTAGGCAGCTGGGATAACAGCGAATTTCTCTCCTCATGGCATGCTGTAAATCTGATCCTTGTGCAGAAACCATTCTCTCCTCCTGTAATATACAGGGCTAATTTTCAGTTCCACCTTCGGTTAAATGTTTATTATGATCATTTGTGGATGCAGTGAGACTCGGGACTTTGGGATCTGTGCTTTGCTAAACTGTGAGGTCGCTAAGATCGTTCAGTTACTGGCATTCTGATAGCACTTATACCACTTTTAAAATATGTCGGATAATTGGATATTTTTAAATTTTAAATTTACTATTAAATGGATAATAGTGAGACAGTCAGTTAAGTTTTAATATAATTGAAAGCTGACACCATATCATAAGATCAATTCTGCCCTGCTGGGTCATATCAAAGGTCCATCTGTAGTCTCCATAGGCACCCAGCCAATATTTTTGTAGTAATAGAAATTAGAAGGGAAAATGGTCACTAGCAGAGTACATAACCCCTGCTGCAATATCCCTTGATATTCCTTGAGAACCACATGCAAGGGTCTCTTAAGATATGCTTTAGATACATGACCAATCCAAACCAAATTCCCCTGAGTAGCCATGATTGGCAAGTGCTATTGAAACCATGGTTTGAACCACTGTTTTAACTAAGGAAACATGACTTGTATTTGTGATTTGTGTTAATGCACATGCTATATCAGGGCCATCTTTAGCATACGTGGTGCCAGGGTGCAAAGATCCGCCCAGCACCCCCAAATTACCATATTTTCCCGTGTGTTAGATGAGGTTGTCCTATACACGGATAGTGCGGGGGGGGGGGGAGCTGCGCACTGCCAGCCATCTGGTTGGCAGGCGCGCAACCCTCTCCCATGCCGCTGTGGGAGGAGAGTGTTTCCTACAGAGGCTTGGGAGGGAAGCTGCGCACCTGCCAGCCATCTGGCGCCCCCCAAAATTTGCCGCCAGGGTACCCTGCACCCCTTGCACCCCTGGGTATAGACGGCCCTGTGCAATATGGTACTATGGGCTATGTGGAGGAAGGGCAGGGATGATGGTGGTCTGGGGTGGATCGTGCTGTGGTTACTCTGGCTTTCTCCCAGCTTGCAAACCATGGTTTGTTCAGGTGCCAACTTCGCTTTGTGCCAGCAATTTGTGTCTGCATTACCCAATACATAATGATAAATCACAAAAAATGCTCAGAGTACTGTAGTTAGAAAGCCAGGCTTCATATTCACAGGCTGTAGGCCCTGCTGTTTCCTTGGACTTCCCTACACAAGTGTGTGCTTTTGGACTCATTTGCATTTCCCTTTTCTTTATTCCCCTTCAAGTTTTGCTTTTTTTAAAACAACAAAAACAACAACAATAAACTCTTCTTTTCTTTGAATGATCCTTGCCTTTATGCTGGGAACAATAAGGCAGAAACAGAGTAGGAGTTATTTGGGTTTTGTTTTTTTCGAAAACCGAGAACGTTTTCCTTCAGAATAGCAGCTGTTGTTGCCATGCTCTTGTCCTGGTTGCTATGGTTTTTTTGTGCGTGTTTGTGCGTGCCGATGTCCGATTGGTTAACTCAGTACAGTCAGACAATTGATAGAAATATTTATGGGGGAAGGGGAGGTGTTGGCAGTTTGATATACCATAAAAATGGGGGTCCCTTCCATTCGTGAACCCATTTCAGCTCATGCTGGTCAATAAGAAGTCAATGAGAATGATCTGGTGGAAAGGATTTAACTCCAAAACTGAGCTGGCAAATGAGATGGAAAATGGCATGTTTTGCTGTTCATGCCTTACCTCTGCTATTACAGGCTTACCGTGCCCAGCACAAGCCTTATTTTGCTACTTCCTTACTCGTTCTCTCTTCCTCACCTTTTGTCTCCCTCTTTTTAACTGGCATATAGAAAGGGGCAGGGTGAGTGGATAAGAGAAGGGTTGGAATTGTTGAGAAAAAAATATATTTCAATTTTTCATTAAAACTTTTTTGGAAGACATCCACCTCCCTAACGTTATAATAAAATGCCTCATTTCCGCCAACAGTTCTGGATTGTGCTCTGATCGCGAAGAGAACTCTCGCTTTCTGTGGCAGAGGAATGTGTTTAAACAGGTTCAATGTATTCTTCACGGTCAGAATAGTGTAACAAGCTGGTCAGACCATAACTTCCCCTCCCCACCTTTTTCTGTCTGTCTCCGTAGCTGTAAATAGCTGCCTGCAGAGAAAAATGTACAACATTCAAGGAGCTTCAATGACAAAAACCAGCCTTGTCTCTCATATGAAGTGTTCTTTCTTCCTCTTGCACATGTGCTCTGGTAGTCTCAGCATGCAAACATCAGGCTGGTGACAAGGAGCAGGACTTTTTCAATGCCTCTGGAACTCTCTCCTCAAGGACATTGGTCTGCAGTAATGGACAACACAGAGGGGCCATGCCATTTACCCAACCTTCCTCCAGCTGAGTCGCTGCTGGGATGAAAATGGGGAGGGGCAAAGTGGCTGCAAGGTGGGTGTGGTGCAAATCCAGTGCTTCTGCTGACTTGTTTGCACCACTCCAACCTCATTGCCACCTTGCACCTCCTTCTCTCTCCCCCAATATGCAGCAGCAATTTGGCTGGAGGGAGGTAAGGTAGATGATGCAGCTCCACTGTGCTGTCCACTACTATCTACCTGGCCTCGTTGAATTTACTCCTTAGGCAAGTGTACAGTGGAATCATAACTATTTTAAAAGGACTTTGGTTAATTTTAATGTTGCTAGTTTTCTTTTCTTGGATTAGTCAATGGTCTTTGATTTTAATTTTTATGTGTTTTCATTATTTAGAGACACTATTCTAAACAACTTTTGTATTATTTATGCGATGATGGCATATAAGTATATTCATATATAAATAAATAAGGTTTTAATTGATTTACAAGTACATTATATCAGGGGTGTGCTGATGTCAAATTTGTCAGATCTACTTTGCTTTTTTCTAAAACCCTAAGATCTCTCATCTAGAGCCGGTAGCAAAAGACACATTATTAGAACAACATGCCTCTGATCACATTCTGAGCATAAGGATCTGCTTTCACACCAGAACTAAACTGAGCACCTTTTAACATAAAAGTCAAATCCTGGTTCTCTTTCTTCATTTCAGCTGCCTAATTTAGGTTGGGAATTAGAAACCTCTTTTGATCTACTGTAGATCACCCCAAAATCTACCAGTACATCCTGATCTACCTTCTGCCTACATGGTGTAGTGGTTAAGAGCGGTAGTCTTGTAATCTGGGGAACTGGGTTCGCATCTCCGCTCCTCCACATGCAGCTGCTGGGTGACCTTGGGCCAGTCACACTTCTTTGAAGTCTCTCAGCCTCACTCTCCTCACAGAGTGTTTGTTGTGGGAGAGGAAGGGAAAGGAGATTGTTAGCCGCTTTGAGACTCCTTAGGGTGTGATAAAGCGGGATATCAAATCCAAACTCCTCCTCCTCCTCCTCCTCCTCCTTTATATTGCTTTTTTTATGCTGTAAGATATCTAGGGGGCCTAACTTCAGGCCCAAGAATAGGGTTATATATTTAAGTAAGTAAATATATTTACTTAATAGCCATGCTATGGCATGCCCTAATGGCTCTTCTAAGACAAGATGCCTTTTCAATCTCAGGTGTTTCGATTTTGATTTGCAGTTTAATCCAGATGACTTTATCCATTTGGTTCATACAATTCTTTTATTCATTCCTATTAAATCAGTTCCCCCACCACCAACCCTGCCTAACTCTTAGCACTGGCATACGTTGCAGTAAATTTCATTGCATTATGTAAGTAGCTTCCGTGTGGAGACCCAGACTGCATGGCGTTAAAACAAATCTTCCTCTTTTCTCCAACACTCTTGATATTTGCCTAGGAATTTTTGCATTCAAGTGCTCAAGAGCAGAGGAGATTTTCAACTTGCTGCAGGAACTGATGCAATGTAACAGCATCAATGTGGTGGAAGAGCCTGTTGTCATCACAAGGAACAGTCATGCTGCTGAACTGGAACTGCCCCGGACACCCCAGACACCCAATAGTAAGATCATCTCTCAATTTGTCAGACAGAGAGGGGAGTGGGGGTGTAGAGTTGTATACTAGCCTTATGGCATCAACCACAGTTTGTTCCAGTGAGCAGGGAGGTGGAATATTTGTATGAGACCAAACTGGCCTTTTCAAGCCTTCCAGTAGGGCCCTGTGAAAGGCCCAAGAGTGTCCCTGCCTTTTGTACAATCCCCAGGGGATTTGGCATGATCAGTGTTTGGTTGGAGCTCAGCTGTTCCACTGTAAAGAGCTTATAGCTGAGGCCAGAAGGCCAGTATACCAGAACCTAGTCTTCTGGTGGGCATTGCTGCAATGCTAGCTACCATATACTGGGAAGGTGAGGCAGTGAGGAGTATGCCATGGTGCAGGTGCACTAGCGGAGCCAATCCAATGCTCTCATTATTTTCCCTGCATGATGCCAACATGCTTCCCCCTCCCCCTTTCCCTCTTGGTAAGCAACAATAACACACCTGCCAGGAAGCTAGCTTCGCGACTCTGCCCTACCAGGCAAGCTGTTTCTGCAGTCTACTTCTCCAGTGTAGCCCTAGCACTTGTGCCCATACGTCCCGTGTGGTATGCTTACTGTAAAGTCTTAAGTTTTGTGCTCCCTTCTTTCCAAGGCAACTGTTTAAAACAGCAGTTGTCTGATCGTGTTTTGAACTTCACTGTAATTTCCATCAGAATCCGTCCAAGCTACTGTAGAAAGCTTGCCTGGAATCTTTAGATTATTGATGTCTGTATTGGGTTGAGAAATAAAGTTTTGTTCTGTGCTTGGATTTGGCTTAGGAATTTCTACATCTGTATGTTTTGCCACAGGTAGCCATATGGTTTGGTTTATAAGCAATAACCTTACAGTGGAGACCATCACTGATCGATCTACTTCTGCTAGCCTTTTGCTTGTTTTTATTTTGCAAATGTGTAGTTTGGAAGCTCTGATAGATGTGCTCATGCTCTAAGGCTGATCTCATCTTTCTCCAGCTCTCGGATATACAGTTCCAGGGTTTCCCAATGGATTCCACAGCTTCCCTGTGGAGGCCCCATCTTGCCCTGCCGCCAGACACGCCTCCATGAGCAGCCTAAGGCATTCCTCAGTTGGCGAGGACTCCACGCATGCCCTCATTGTCCCTGATGAGCAAGTAAGTTCTCCTTATGGTCAAGGCCAAATTAAGGTGGTTGGAGGCCCTGGTGCAATTCCGAAAATAGGGCCCACCTGCCCCCGCAAAAGGAATGCAAGGAATAAGGTAGCTCAAAATAAGTCATGTGGTATTTTAAAGACTAATGCATTTATTACGGCAAAAGCTTTCGCAGACTATAAAAATACTTGTGGAGTTTCTCAGCTCTCAGCAACACCCAAACAATTATTTTTTTTGCCAAGCTTGATAAACAAAAAGAAAATACTCTGAACATGTGCAGTCTCACATTTTAAGTGCACTAAACACATCATTGTTTTTGCTTACTACCTGCCTTGAGCCAGTCATCTATTCTCAGCCTTAGCTATATCACATGGCTGTTATGAAGATATAGAAGGTTGCAAAAGGAGACACTGTACTTGTATCACAGGCATCAAACTTTGGTTCCTTTTAACCAGAGTGATTTATCTTTATACTGTAACCGGTTGTATTTTTTCTGCCTCCCTGCCTGACTATTTCATGATAAGATACATGATTCCTACCTGGATTCATTTGTAAATTGTGAATTCATTAATTCTGTGTTCACAATGAACAGTGCAAGGTGAATGAAAATACAAAGAAAAACAGAAGTTAAATCAAGGATTTTAAAAATAATAATGAGAATTTTGATGAGTTGAGCTGTGTGATGAAAACGAAAATGAACAAGCCTTTCTGCTTTGTGGGAACTAAATCTAAACCTTTGTAGTCATTTATGTATAAGCTAGTACGATCCTAGGCATATGTACTCAGAAGTACCGTATTTTTTGCCCTATAGGACGCACCGGCCCATAGGACGCACCTAGGTTTTTTTTGGGGGGGGGTGGAATAAAGGGGAAAAAATTATTTCCCCCCCAGCCACGGGAACTCCCGCAGGGCTCCCTAGGCTGCGGAGATCTGCCCGAAGCGCGGGGTGCTCTGCTTCAGCACGCCCCGTGCTCCGTGCAGCAGGCTGCTATCCGCAGCCTAGGGAGCCCTGCGGGAACTCCCGTGGGCTCCCCAGGCTTGCTGATAGCTTCCTGAAGCCTGGAGAGAGAGAGGGGTCGGTGCGCACCGACCCCTCTCGCTCTCCAAGCTTCAGCAAAAGCCTGCATTCGCCCCATAGGACTTACACACATTTCCCCTCCATTTTTGGAGGAGAAAAGTGCGTCTTATAGGGTGAAAAATACGGTAAGTCTCGCTGTGTTTAATAGGGCTAATTCCCTAACAAGTGTATTTAGGATTGCAACTTTATTATCAAGTTTACCTTCACTTTTGAAGGTAGTTATTTTAAGCTTAGTACGTGGTAAGTTGCTTCAGGGAGGTCTCATGCCACCTAATGGCAGAGATAGGGAACCTGTGGCCCTGCAGATGCGGTTGGACTACAACTGCCACTATTGACCAGGCGGGCTGGGACTGATGGGAATTGGAGCCAACATCATCTAGAGCAGCCTTTCTCAACCTGTGAGTCCCCAGATGTTGTTGAACTACAACCCCCATCACCCCTAGCTAGCAAGGCCAGAGCTCAGGGATGATGGGAGTTGTAGTCCAACAACATCTGGGGGCCCACAGGTTGAGAACCACTGATCTAGAGGCTACAATTTCCCCGCCTCTGCTTTATGCTTACTTTGCCTCTCAGACCCATTACTGCAAGTCCCTCCTCTTCTGAAAGCAGACTCTCCTCCAGCCATGTCAACACCTCCAGGTGACACCTTGGTCCTTCAGTATACCCCCATGTATAGGTTTGCTGGCAGCTGTTGTTCTCCTCTTTGCCGCCTCCTCATCCATCTTCTCTCCTTGCAGTCCCACACCTATGTGAACACAACCAGCGGTGAGGAGGAGATGAGGGGCCGCCACTGCATGCACTCCTTGCCTGAAGTCCACCCTCCTGTTTCCCATCCCAGCCATAGCTGCTCGCTAGAGGACCGGAACCCCCAGGTTTACTTACAGCCAGGGGAGGTGAAGTTCATGTTGGGTCCTGCCCCCGGGTACAGGCACATGATGAAATGCGACGGCTTCTGCCGGCCCCACTGGGAGTGCGCAGGGCATATGTGCACCCCCAACAACAACAACAACGAGTGCAAAGACGAATGCCTCACCCCCAAGTACGTGTACGAGAACATCAACGGCCTCCTGCCGTCCCGAGGTGCCTTGCTTCGCCGGGGCACCAGGCGCTTGAAAATTGCCCGTGAGGATCTGAACCCCCCCGGCTGCTCTCACCGCCGGGCCACCCTGCTGCACTACGAGAACTTGCCTTCGCTGCCGCCCGTGTGGGAGTGCCAGCCGCTAAGGCAGGACCAGGAGGAGGAGGAGGAGGACTCTGGCGACGCAATGACGCCTTCCCCTAACGGTTACCCGGAACTCGAGGAAGACGACCCTTTGCAAAACTACATGAACTCGGAAAGCGCTGTGCTGCAGGGAGGCCTGCGCAGGGGGGGCTGCTTGCAGCGGCGCCGCAGCTGCACGCCCAACGTCTTCAATTTTGACTTCCGCCGGCCCTGCTCAGAGCAGACGAGGCAGCTCAACTACATCCAGGTGGAACTGGAGGACGACCCCCACAAAGGGTGCCGGAGCACCCCGGTCCCCTGTGCCTCACGTTCTGCCGCCCACCCAGCCCGCAGGACGGATTCCTATGCGGTCATTGACCTCAAAAAGACAGCAGCCATGTCCAGCCTGCAGAGGGCGCTGCCTCGGGACGACGGGACTTCCAGGAAAACGCGGCATAACAGCACTGACCTGCCTCTCTAGGAGGAACGGCCGACCTGAGCACCGCATTGTGGCTTCACACCGGCTCTTCAACTAATCATAGCATCATTGCCATCTTCCCATTGCTCCTCCTGTTTCCCAGTGCGACTCACTGGGATGGCTCCATCAAGCTAACTTGAGAAATGTAGCCTATTTGTGCCTCTTCCCAGCCCCCCCCCCATTTCTCCTGCCGTGTAGTTCTTTAAGTCTTGCCAAGTGTTTGAAAACTTGACTTGTTTGATAGCAGGGAGGGGGAGCATTAGTGATCAGTGCTACTTGTTCTCCCCTCCCCTGCCCCTTTATATAGGAATCATGTTTGGAAAGCCTTCCCGTTTTCATTGGATCCTCTTGAGGATCCTGCTGACAGAATGTGGGGTTTTTATGTAAAGCATAGGAATATTTGTGGAGGAAAAAACACCTCCAAAAACAGTACAGGTAGGGCATGAGGGCTAGAAAGTTTATACCTTTTTATTTTTGAAGGAATGCAGAAATATATTTATTTTTTAAATCCATGTTAATTTTATTTATTCATTTATTTATTTTTCTGGGAGGTGCAGTCTCCCTTTATTTATTTATTTAATTTATGTATGTCAAGAGTTGAAGTGCCAAGTAAATATAGAGTATAATGACTTTGTAGTTCATTCCTCTTTTGTGACAGTGGGGATGGGGGAGGTCGCACCCCCCCGTGCCAATTGAAAGCCAAATAGTGACAGTAAGTAAGGAAGGAAGGGATTTAGTCTAGCGGACTAGCACGGCTCCTTTGCAGAAGTTTGGAAATGAAGGCAAGGATGGTCCTAGCACCACGTACTTACAAAGTTGGCTCCACATGCCGACAAATCTGCTCTCGTAGCTCAAGTTCCTTTCTTCTTATTGGGTGTAATGCACATCTCTCCACCATTGCAGCAAAAAAGAACTGTGGGAATGTAAATTGCCAACCCCTAACAAAGCCCCGGGATGTGGGTGGCGTTGTGGGTTAAACCACTGAGCCTAGGACTTGCCGATCAGAAGGTCAGCGGTTCGAATCCCCGCTACAGGGTGAGCTCCCGTTGCTGGGTCCCTGCTCCTGCCAACCTAGCAGTTCGAAAGCACATCAAAGTGCAAGTAGATAAATAGGTACCGCTCTGGCGGGAAGGTAAACGGCACTTCCGTGCGCTGCTCTGGTTCGCTGGAAGCGGCTTAGTCATGCTGGCCACATGACCCAGAAGCTGTACGCCGGCTCCCTCGGCCAATAAAGCGAGATGAGCGCCGCAACCCCAGAGTCAGTCACGACTGGACCTAATGGTCAGGGGTCCCCTTTACCTTTTACTAACAAAGCCCCTAACAAACTTTTCAACACTGCCTTGCTAGTAGCCCCACAGAAACTTCCCAAGAAGCCAGCCTTCTTATAGCAGTGCTAGGGAGGGATGTGGATTTAGGTGCAGCTCACTCTTTTGCTAGTGTCCTTTGGAACCTCTCTCCCTCCACCTCACCTGATTGTGCCCATCTCTCAATTCCAGCAGCCTTACCGACCCCCCTCACACTGCTTCTTTGAATACTTTGGTGGATCCCAGCCCACCTTTTGTGGATAATCGGCGTCTAAATAGAGCTTTTTGCATAACTTTATTGACAAGCACGGCTTTGTTTCACTGTGACTGCCAGGGCTGGTTTAGACTAAAAATAACCCTACAGCAGGGAATGTGATTGTGGCCATTTCTCTTTGCTGCTGCAGTTCTTCCCCCAGAGGTGGCTTTTCCGGAGATAACTGCAGCGCCTTACAGTCCTGAGAAGCTGTGCAGCTTTATGGACTTTGTGCCCCTAAAGCCGTTGGAAAAGCTCAGTATGTCTGAAGCCACTGGGAAAGTTCAGTAAGCCAAACAAGAAGGTATTTTAGAGCTTCTGGAAGCTGCTTCTTGGCTACTTTTTCTTAACTACTGTATTGCAGACCACTATTCTGAGTTGTTTCTTTTTTGTCAGTCACCATATTTTCATATTCAGAGGGAAGGGCCCTTAGCTCAGTGGTAGAGCTCATGCCTTGCAAAGCATCAGTCTGTGGCATCTTCAGGTCGGGCTGAGAAAGGTTTTGAGGGCCGATACTGGCAAGTCCGAGGCAGATAGACCGGTGGTCTGATGGTACACAGCTGTTTCCCATGCTCTTATATCCTACAGCTTCCATGTGGGAGGCTGTGTGAAAAGCTTATAGACTAAGGCCTGTGCACACACTCCTGTTTCCTCTGGCTCCAGTGCACTCCATCCATGAGCCTCAGTGCACATGGCGTTAGTCACATTGCACATGCATCCTGTGTTTTCCCAAGAAATGCCTCTCTTTGACGTGTTTCTCCTCAAACTAGCTTCCACCCAATTTGGTTTAAGCTGAGATGTGCACAGTTCAGACAGCCGTTGCGCATGCACAGAAGACAGGACGTGTGCAGATGACTGTTTCCTGGAATAGGAGTCCAGAGGTGTTGCAGATACGGGGGAAAACAAATCAAGCACCATGCATTGGGTGATGGCACTCCTGCCGCTGCTCTGGTGCGTACAGGAAGTGTAAAGGCAACTTGAAATGCAGCAGGGGAAAGCCGCCTTGCCGTGTCTTAGCTCCTCCTGCGTACGGACCCTCTTGCGCCATACAAGCTATTGTTCCCCTGCTCACTCCCTTTTGAACATCTTGTCCTTCCCACTTCTGTGTGAATACAGCCAGAATACAGAAGATGTTTGTCAGTCTGTGTACTGGGATTCGAGACTGATTGTAATATCGCAGCTGCCCTGTGAGAGGTCACCTGGGAAGGCTTGCATGGGGCGGCTGCTCCACATGGCTTCAGCAGGGCAGATGACCACAGTGGCGATGTCAAATCTTCAGGATTCCCCCCTTGCTGCATCCATTGCAGTCTTGTGGACCACAGTTTAAGAGCCACAGGTGTAGGGGGATCCCACAGTTAAGGTGGACAGTCTAGTCTAGAAGGTGCTTGGATTTATCTTAAAGATAACAATGGAACGTAGAGATGGATGTGCTAAATTTTAGAGCCCGAACCAAGATTTCTTTTTGGTGACAAGAGTAAAACAGCATGAAGAATCGTTGCAAATAAGTTTTCTTTTTTTCCTAAAAACATTTCAGTGCAAAGTTTGTTTTTCAGGCAAAGGGCCATCAGTAGCCTTTCTTCTTACCTCATTTTGTACCGTTTCACTATTGAATATAGTATGAGAAAGTGAACAAGCAACCAAAGTGAGATCTGTGAGTTTTGTTGTTGGGGAAAGACTAGGTACATGCTCTGCATGCCCTTTCAATAGTCTTTCTTCTTACCTTATTTTGTACCAGGTTTTTTTTTAATAAAAAAAAATAAAGTTGTAGGGGAGTCTGATTACCTCCAGCATCATTAAAGCAGGTTGTAACTTTTAGTATTGATTGCCCTATAGAGACAGACTGAATCAGTTGCAGTGAAACAAGCAGAGGGCTGCCACCTAGTGTTGTCTTTTGGAAGTGTATGTCCCTTTGTCATCAACTCTTCCTGTAGTCTGCCTGTTAATTTTTTAGTAGATCTACAAGACTCTTTGCACAGCCACACTGACCCAATGGAACGTGGTGCTCTTCCAATATTTTTGACCAGAAGTGCTGGGGTGCCACTTTCTCCCTTGACAAAAGCTCATTAATAGGTCCATGATGGGCACAAATTCAACAGGTGCAGCTTCCCCCATTATAGAGATGAGTGATGGAGAAAGCTACACATCTGGGGTAGCTGCCTGCTGCAGACCTATTTGGAACAGTCTTTCCTCCATCACGAAAAAAGAGGCTGGGGTGGGGGAAGGATGATAATTCTAAAGAGAGTCTAAAATTGATCTTATAAATATTGATATTATAAAAATGGATCTTAAATAATTGTAATTTTCCCAGCCACATGTGGGACCTTTCTACTCTTCCTCATAAGCCCGGAGCTTTTAATGAAAACTCATGGATAATCTATTTAATATAAATAAGGAAAATGAAAGTCCAAGGTGCTTCAGTTCAGCCCTTGATCAACTTCCACAGCATGAAACCAGATACATTTGGTTCTAGTAGTAGGCCTCATCAAGTCCAGCTTATGACAAGAAAATATTTTCTTTGTTTCCTAATCATTTTGTGTTGGTTTTCATGCAGTGGGTTGTCTTTGACCTTTTGATTTGCACATACTTGCCTTGCTTTTAAACAACCGTTGACAAAATGTGGCTTAAGGGTGCAAGTGGAGCTTATTTTCTCTCATTTGTTACATGTGCCATGCTAGCCTTAATTAATAAAGCAAATGGAAGAAAAAGGCCTTTTTTTGTTTTGTAAACCAGCTGCTGTGCTGCCCCATCTCTTGATATAAGGTGCTCAGCATCCCAAGTGGATATCTACCCGCTTTTAAAGCTCTATCTGGTGCTATGAGAAAGACAATTAAGTTCAACACAATGCTTTGGTCAACTACCAAGGCAATGTCCTGTTCTGGCCTAACTTGGATCGCCACGTTCCCCTCACCCTGCAGAAACCCCATGCTTTTAGCAACAGTGTGTTAGGCAATCTCCCTCCCCATAGTATAGCTTTTCTTTGCATGGCCAATGTAGAAAGCTGTCATGATATATTGCCTCCCACACAACTGGTAAATGCACTGAGTCTCCCTGTGTCGGGTGGGATGAGCGGGGAGGGAAAGTAAAATGGCAACCTTAGACTACCTATGGTTTTATGACTTCTGTGATCTAATCCCCATGTTAGTCTGTATAGTCTGGACCAACTTTGTCTCATAGTAGGGAAACAACAATCTGTATCCTAAGGGGATCTCCCAGCTTGCTGTTTTTCAAACTTTTCTTAGCCTTTAAGCTTCTGGAACATCTTAATATGTTTATCCCCAAATCCCTTGGGTAGTAAAAATCAGCATTTAAAAGAGGAGCCTTAGTGGATATGTTTGTTTACCATTACAAATGTCCACATCACTTCTCATGAGGCAGGAGCAGGAACTACAAGTTGTGAAGCTGAGTAATGGTGGTACCTACTCACTTCATAGAGGTATTATGAAGATTAACTGGTGTTTACAAAGGGTTTGAGTGACATAAGTGCCAAGCAAGAATCGTTATGACTGAAGTTAGTTTGTATGTCAAATGTAATCTCTGGTTGGTTGTGACTTTAGTTTTGCAGCCAGTGTGAAAGGGCTGCCCACATACCTCTTAATTCTTAATATACTTGCCATTGCTCTGAAATGAGTGTATCTGTACTCTTGCTTGGGGAGGCATCTTGTCCCTTGTGGAAGAAAGGGTGACTATTCTTTATTTGCATTCATAACTTTTCTTAACATTTGCCCCCAACTATTTTGCTTATGTTTTCGCGTGGCTTGTTGACTGAAATATACTTGGAGTCGTTCAACTCAGTACATAACATTGACCCTTTCTTTAATTGCTGGATTGCATAAAAGCAGATTGGCACTGTCTTTTTAACAGCTGTGCCAATGACACAAGGTGCCATTTTCTCTCATTCTAGTGGCAAGACAACCTGCATCTGCTAGTATTTTTGCTGATGTGCAGGCAGTAAAGGCACAGGTGTTCTGTTTCCTAGGGATTGTGGCCACCTCGTCACGATGTCCTCTCAGGAACTTTAACCTCTGAACTTCTGTGAAAATATGCTAAATTCCTACAGCTACTTTAGGAGAAAGAATCTAAACCATTAGCTAAGGAAGTTACCAGATTGGCATATGCAAGCCAGTGACTAGGATGAGTGAGGGGATAGATTGGGGAGGAATCTGGTTACGTAAAGGGGATACCCTTTCCTCTGCAAGTGATTCATTTTGAAAAGCCCAGCTTTAGCTAGGCAGATCTCAAGCTTTTACCCTGTGCAGTTTTCTTCATAGTTAACTAGTACTGATGTCTTTGCTGACTATCTGATGTGGCAGGAAAGCAAAGGCACTTGGGGATGCCCAGCTGCTCTGGCCACAAAAGCTGCTCTGTGGTTTCTTTCTTCACTGGTTCCTGCTGTGTATCCTCCGTTCATTCTCTCTTTGTATCTCATCCGATCGTATCCTTCAAAGCAAATAGCATTAGCAGTGCCATGTGATTGAGGAGCGCTCGTGTCTTATTTTAATGTGCACTACGAATGTATCCAAAATAAATGAAATCTGATTAGTATCTTTTGGAAGGCGTGGCTTGTTTTGATTTGTGAACAAATCATGAGTCAAGATTATTTTGGCTTTGACAAAATCTCCCTTCTTTACCTGCAATCCCCGACTTTCCACAGAACTTCTACATAATCTCCATCCTTACTCTGGGTATGATATCACGTGAAAACTCTCAGAACTTATAGTTCTAGTTACAGGTAGGTAGCCATGTTGGTCTGCCGTAGTCGAAACAAAATAAAAAATTAAAAAAATCCTTCCAGTAGCACCTTAGAGATTAACTAAGTCTTTCGTGCATGCACACGAAAGCACATACCAATAACTAACTTAGTTGGTCTCTAAGGTGATACTGGAAGGAATTTTTAAATTTTTTATCTTATAGTTGACATTCATGTTAAACCTGTTCTTGTGTAGAGCTTGGCCCTATTCGGAAAAATAGTGGCTCACTCAAGCTGCAGATGGTTTTTCACCATGATGCAACTGCAGAAATCCACTGTGCATTCGAGAAAACAGCAACTGCGAACAGCAGCACTATATACTGTGTGTCAGAATTCAGGGTGTGCCTTTGGGTGTACTGTATGTACTTAGCTATGCTTAAAGGATGGAGGGTTTCAACCTGAGTCACAGGCAGGCAATCAAGGAATTGGTCCTTAAACACCAAGATAGAGACAGCATGCCAGAAGTGGTACAGAATTTGGCATCCAGTAAGAAAATCAGGGTGAAAATAGGTGCACTCTCAAATTCAGAGTCTCATTCTTGAATTGCACTATGTTTGGATCAGCATGGCTCATGGCATCATCAATAAAGTCCCCAGATTACTTGCAAGTGTTGAGGTTCACTGACAAATGTACCAGTTTCTAAGAGCCTAAAGCAATCTGCACCCTGATTTGAATTTTCCACTTTTTCTGAGCTATGGAAAACCACATCCTCCATGTGAAGTTTCAGTCATTGGCTTTAAGAATTATCCTGGATCTCTACAATGCATTCTCTCCCACTGCATTATCTGGAAAATGGGGGTGGGGGGATATGGAGATGGTCCTACATGACTTAATCCAACCAAAACAATTTTGTTGTTTATTAAATTTATTCCTGCCCTTCCTCCCAAATGAGCCCAATTCAGTACAAGCTGGAATGATTTAAAATATTTGGTTTGGACATGTGGAACCCTGATTCAAATCTCTCTGCCCAGCCATGAAACTCACTCACATGGCCTACAGTAACTGCAATGTAGATTAAATTCTTGGCTGGTTGAGTCTAGAACAACCATAGGATGTCACAGAATGACGAAGACTTAACCTGAACACAAACACCTGAACACAAACACAATGTTCCTCAGCCTCAGGAAGAAATGCCGTTGTGTAGAGTCAGATCATTATGAATTGCTCCACCTCAGGATGTGTCTAAAGATGAAAGTTAGGATACCTGTGTAGGAGGTTGGGTGGGATTGATTGATTGATTGGCTGGATGCTACATGCAGTTGCATTTCTGCTCATTTTAGTAGAAAAGGGTGGTCAACTTTCCTACTGTTGTACTGGAAATCTTGCAAATGGAATCAGATCAGACTACATACAGTGTGCACACACATTTTAAAATGCCTTTTCTAGAGAGCTCCTGTACATTACAAACTGCAGTTAGGAGCCACTTCATTTTATCATTCTAATGCCTATTAAAAGAGCCCTGTTCCCATCACAATCTTATCCAAGGTGGAAAGCAAATCCTATTTCGCCTGAGTAAGGACAGCCAGAAGCAGCCTTGCTGGTTACCAGATAAGCAGCAACAATTGCTCACCCGGTACCATTCACCTCAACCAGGATCTGGCAGGATCCGCACCACGTGGAAAATTTAGTGCCCTCTGCAGATTTAATTATAAAGAGGGCAATGATAAGCAGCCATTCACTTAAGGTGAGCCTTATCACACCTGATATGCATTTGCCAAAGCCATTTTTCCTGGAACCTCACCTCTTTTCCACCCCCTTAGTATTTTTTAATTTTTTTTTTCTTCCACACACATAATGCTGAATGTGCACAAGTTAAATTCATGTAAGTTTGGGGCTTGCTGTACTTCAGTTCAGCCAAGTTGGTCGAAGCTACCTCCTAAGGAGCGCTCTAGAAAAACCCACAAACCTGACTGTACAATCTATTTAAAAGTGTATAAACACACACAATAAAGGAGAACAAAAGCATTTCCATATTTTAAAAAAATGCATCTTCAATAAAAGTCATGAAACTCGATGTTTTGTTGCAGCAAACTATTGTTGCTTCAGGAAGAAATGTTCATGTAACATTTGATCTGGTATGTCTCTGCAGAGCCACAGCACTTCCTCCCTCCATCCTCTTGAGCAGGGTTCAGCAACCTTTTTCAGCCGTGGGCTGGTCCATCGTCCCTCAGAACATGGGGGGCCGGACTATATTTTGAAAAAAATATATGAATGAATTCCTATACCCCCACAAATAACCCAGAGATGCATTTTAAATAAAAGGACACATTCTACTCATGTAAAAACAAGCTGATTCCCGGACCGTCTGCGGGCCGGATTTAGAAGGCGATTGGGCCGGATCCGGTCCACAGGCCTTAGGTTGCCTACCCCTGCTCTTGAGGCTACATATTAATGTAGCCATTAGTCTATATCAGGGGTCTCCATCCAACATCCCACCATTGGCTGCACATTTTGGCACCTGAAGCAAACCACAAAATGGGGGGGGGGGCTGTCTAGGGAACAAGGGGTGAGAAAAGATCAGGAATAAGAGCACAATAAAGATCTATATCGGGAACAAGCAGGGGAGATCAGCAGCAACTACTATTTGACAAGAGGCTGCTGCAGAGGTGGCATGACGAAGAAGGCTGCTGAGGAGATGGTAGATTCAGCCTCTAAGGAGCATAGCGCAACTGCTGCCACCACTGCAGCAGTGGGCTATGCATTCTTTGGAGGCCAGATCTACTGCCCCGGGGGATCCTGCTACCTGAAGCACACACTTTACCTTGCCTTATGGGTGGGCCGGCTCTGCACCAGAGGCCTTCCTGAAATTAGGCTTTTTAGAAGTGTTCTGCCATAGGCAGAAGGTTGTGATATGTGCTTGACTGTGTGTGCGTGTGGTGCCCAAAACAGTTTCTCCAGTTTGCACATGTGTCCATGGGCCCCCAAAGGTTGGCATCTCCTGATCAATACGGTAAGTGGACTGATCTTTCTCCCTGTTCTACGTAAGACCCTTTCCGTGCCCCCAGAGCTCAGTAAAGGTAAAGGTAAAGGGACCCCTGACCATTAGGTCCAGTCGCAGATGACTCTGGGGTTGCGGCGCTCATCTCGCTTTATTGGCCAAGGGAGCCGGCATACAGCTTCCGGGTCATGTGGCCAGCATGACAAGCCACTTCTGGCGAACCAGAGCAGCACATAGAAGTGCTGTTTACCTTCCCGCCAGAGCGGTACCTAATTATCTACTTGCACGTTGTGCTTTCGAAATGCTAGGTTAGCAGGAGCAGGGAACGAGCAATCGGAGCTCACCCTGCCCGGATATTCGAACTGTTGACCTTCTGATCAGCAAGCCCTAGGCTCTGTGGTTTAACCCACAGTGCCACCCATGTCCCTAATCCAGAGCACAGTACATAGTGGCAGTTCCCCTATCACCTAACGGGGAACAATGACTATGTACCTCATGGTGGAAAAATCCACAAGATTGGGAGCTTACATAGCTTGAAGAGCAGAGTGAGCAGGCATGGAACAGAAGAAGGATGTATATATATCACAACGCAATTTTCTATCCCAGGCTCAACAACTTTGGGCTAAAATTATAAAAAAAGCTCAGCAAGGTCAACAACTTCGGTCGGCCCTCATGCACGTTCACTTCATCACATCTGGCCCTCTTTGAAAAAAGTTTGGGCACCCCTGTTCTGTTCTGAGCTGTTCTGCTCATTCTATATGACTGGATCCTTTTGGGCCTTTTCTGTTCATGTCAAATAATTTGACTTTCAATCTTGATTGGTATAGTATGGTTCTAGTGATGCTGGAATGCTTCTGATAATACCTTGGATGGAAACAGTGAAGATCACATGACTGTTTAGGGCTTTGTATTTTTCCATTCTAATCAAAGTTTTGCATGTTAACACCCCCTGCATGCTAACACCCCCTTATGAAAACACCCCCTATAACTATCATATCTCATACAAGTAAAAGATAAAACAAGTGCTTGCTGGAGATGTAGTTTGCAAGGACCTTGTGTGTGTGTTTTAAAGAGAACTGAATATATGATGATAAGAACCAATGTCAACCTCTACTTCCAAAATATGAGCTTAGCACAAAACATAATTTGCTTTTCCGATTAAATAATAGCGATTGAGATAAAAGTTCTGCAATGCCTTTGAAAAATTGTTTGACCCATTGTTAAGATTCTGATATGTGACTTGGCTGCAAGTTGGCGGTGAAAGCAGCACTGTTCAGGGTATATAAGAAGGGACCCTGCTGTGCCAACACTTACCCAGTGTCTTAAGACCAAGGTGCAGCAGTGAAAGAATACACTTTAGAAACTGCTCAGAAGAAAGAAGGCATCATGAAGTGGCTGATCCTTGCCCTGGTGTGCCTTCACCTCTGTGAGGGTGCTGTTGTCAAGTGAGTATGGAACAATGGCATGGTGCAGCCTCTCCGGGTGATTCTTGGCTTCAGTTGTGCTTGGTAGCCGGAAAAAAAGAGCAGCAATGAAGTATGAATGTTTAGCACGATGTGCCTGTAAAGTAATAATGTGCTGTTCATTACTTACTCCTATCTGGGAGTAAGCAATAAGCATTCGGGGCGAGGCTTAATCCCAGATAAACATGCCTAGGACTGCTGCCTAGGATCTTTAAAAACCTATGGACCAAGTTAGTCATAATGACTAGCCTGAGATCCATTGTTTTCTACTGGATTTCAGTAGCAAGCCTATGTCTACAGAACTATGTACTGAATTCAGTCGTTCTGAGTATAGTAATGATTGTGACAGTTAGCTCATAAAATTTAGATAATGGGTGCCCTCCAGATGTTGTTGGACTTCAACTCCCATCAGTCCTAGCCAGCATGACCAATGGTCATAGATGATGGGACTTGTAGTCCAACAAAATATGGAAAGCACAATGTTGGCTATTCTTGATTTAGATGCTCTTTTATCAAGTTGTTAAGTGAGAAATATAGCTGTAAAGTGCAACACAGAGCATTTTATCATTGAAACTTTATTTTTATAAAAGCCTTTAAAACCACAATATTCTATCCAAAGGCAGAAATTCTCAGTAAGCAACTGAGACCCAGTTTTTTTAAAAACTGAAACCCTTTTTGTTTTGAAATTTTCAAGACATTGGAATCAAATTGACATGACATTTAATGCAAAGATGCATAGCATTTCCCAATAACTTCTGTGAGAACAAAATGTACATTAAAAAAAATAAAATACTCCTGTACACACTTACCTGAAAGTACCGTAAATGCTGCTGAACTCAGTGGGCCGAACTTCTCAGGAGATGTGCACAGGAAGGATTATGCTGTTAATGTTCTTTCTTTCATTCATTTGTATTTCACTGCATTATTAGAACTGCATTTATGATGCAAAAAAATGGAAGGAAATTAAATTAAAGGAAATTTAGAAAATTGGAGTAAATTGAAGCTGTCATTATGGGGCAGAATATCAATGATTAAAATGACAGTATTTACTTTGCAATAAAAATTAAATTAAAAAAGGGGAAAAAAGTATTGCATGTATGATGAATGTATGTTTCCTATGCAGGCCTTTTTCAGTCTCTATTCAATTCATTCCCTACATCAATTGCTTTAATGTATGAGACAAATTATTCATTTAGCTCAGCATTTTTTCTCAAAAGTAGCCAGGCAGATGTCCTTGGTAAGCTCATGGGAGGCGTGATGGTGACAGCCATCATTTTTCTGTCCTCCTCAGCAAATCAGAGTTATGCTGTAAACACTGAAAAACAACAGAAGAGTTTTGTGGGATCTTAAACACTTTTCATTGTTTTTGCTGCAAGAAGCTAACACAACTACGGTACCTCTCTGGAAATTGTGAATATGGAGATTCCAATCTCAGTGATGCTAGTTAATAGCCATGGAATCTTACTACTCATAGTATGTACAGTATATGGGTAAAAAACTTATTTTCCTTAGAGCTAGGAAGGCCTGATGCATGTGTCTCCACAAGCAATTATTTGGTCCCGCAAGATCACTCTAATTCTGGTAGTGGTAGGAGAAATGTTTTTTAATTATTTAAGTACAGTATATACCGTAGGTACTGGGGTGGGCAGAGAGAACCAACTAGAGCCTTAATTGGCATGTTAATTGATCCTTCCTTGATTGTCAGGTGTAACATTAACTGATGAACAGCTAGTGGGCAATAACACACACACACACACACACACACACATACACACACACACACACACACTGCTCAGCTGCTCAGCTGAAGAGGGAGCTGTGTGCCTCTGTGTGTATGTATGTGAGACTGTGAGATGGGCACACCCACTTTGGGCAGCACCCACCTCTGGCTGGCACGCAGTCCTAGAACGATGGCTAAGGATGAATGTGGCCTTTGAGCCCAAAACGTTTTGCCATCCCTGCAGTAGATATCATTACCTAAACAGACAAAGCTCAGGAAGGCAAGAGAATCACTGAGAAGGGCAAAGACAGGATCCAAAATAGTTTAGCTAATACCTTTTTATTGAATCAGCAGCTGTAGGTATTGGTTAAATAACAAGTAAGATGAAAGATAGACAGAGCACTTTTGGGCAGGGAGGGAAGGAGAAATGTGCAATATCGCAGAAGAGAAGTCCAGTGGAAGAACCTGTACAAGTGTCCCTCTTGGCTTTCCATTCCTTGTTAACAACACAGTGCAAGAGTTAGTGTGGCCTTTTAAGGTTAGGATGGTGTCAGGTTAGCTTGAACCCTGATGGAATTAGATGGAAGTTAGTGTGCTTGCCTTAGGTATTATATGGTTCAGACCAGAGAATTCCATCAATGGTCTGAAGATATTCCATTGAGCATACTTAATATGCAAAGAGTTTACAGCTGTCTTTTTGACTCTGCATCTAACTCTTCATCCCATACAGAGTTCCCCTGAAAAAGTTCAAGTCCATGCGGGAGGTGATGAAGGAGAAGGGTGTCCTTGAAAAGTTCCTGAAGGACAATCATTATGACCCTGCCAGCAAGTACTTCAACAACTATGCCAGTGGTTACGAACCCCTTGCTAACTACATGGACGTGAGTATACAGTTGGCTAAGAGAAGCTACCAAAATCATAGAAAGAGCAAAACTAGGAAAGAGTAAAGGCTAGGATTTCAACATGTGCTGGATGGAATAAGAAGTCCAGATTTAGCTGAATATCAATGTTTGAGTCCTAATATGTGACTATTAAAAATCATGGGAATTTTAAGTTTTGAGAATGGAATTGTGGTTCTCTTTGTGCATCACTCTAAATTAAAATATATGGGAGAGTATAAAAAATCAAAAGAAGAAAAACATATAAGAGGAATGTTTTCGGGTAGTTACAGTAATGGGTAGTTTTTGCTTCCTTTTGGGGCGGTTGTGCAAAATGTTCTATTGAATGTGCTGGGAATTTATGCAGATATCAATGGGGGGAAGCTATTGTTGATGGCAATGTACTCTTTTCTCTAGATGTCCTATTATGGAGAGATCAGCATTGGAACTCCACCCCAGAACTTCTTGGTTCTTTTTGACACTGGGTCATCCAATCTCTGGGTGCCATCAGTCTACTGCCAGAGTCAGGCCTGCAGTGAGTATCCTCTAAACCAGTGGTGGCCAAACATGGCCCTCCAGCCATTTGGGGACTACAACCAGTGGCGGAGCTTCATGCTCTGGCACCGTGGGGCGGAGAGCAGGCGGGGGTGGGGCTGGTGTGTGTCCTGGAGGCGTGGCACACTGCCTGCAGGGGTGTGGTACCCAGCGCGGGGGGGAGGGGGCAGCCGCGATGGCACCCCACCGGGATTGCGCTGCCGGGGGCGGTGCACTCCCCCTGCACTCCTCTTCCTCAGACAGTGACTACAACTCCCATAATCCCTAGCTAACAGGACCAGTGGTCGGGGATGATGGGAATTGTAGTCCCAAAACAGCTGGAGGGCCAAAGTTGGCCACCACTGCTCTAAGCAAAACAAAGGTGAAGAATTATTTTTGGGTTTATATTTTGGTGCTGGAACTTTTCTCTCTCGCAGCTGCGGATTCAGGTTCAATGGTGGATGATATTAAAACCTGGTTTTGTTGTGATCCTAAAAGTGACACAAGTCTGTTTTTCTTCAATTTCTACCACTAGCAAACCACCCATTGTTCAACCCCAGCCAGTCTTCTACTTATTCCACCAACGACCAGACCTTCTCTTTGCAGTATGGAACTGGGAGCCTCACTGGGCTCTTTGGCTATGATACCGTAACGGTAAGCAGTAGTGCACCCTAAATTGGTTTCAATTGTAACAACAACAACAACAACAACAACAACAACAACTGTATGCCACCCATCTGACTGTGTTGCCCCAGCCACTCTGGGTAGCTCTCAACAGAATATTAAAAACTGCTTCTAACAGCAGAAGCAGATAGATTCAGTAGACAGGAAGGAATCCATTCTAACATTCCTAATGCAATGCACTTCGATCACACAGGTAACAAAGTATAGTGACCTTGAGCACAGCCAAAGCTGCAGATGCAGTGGAGGGTGGGGAGAAACTCTCTTGTACAAATATACTTGGAAATCTATTACAGCCAACCTCAACAATGGGTTCTTCAATAGCACTCTGTGAACTTAATGAAAGAGTGTCAAGAAAGCCCATCCACTGTGGCATCTCACCTATGCAAGGCAAGCCAGTTCAAGAATATGTGCAGCCATTTCAATACTATTATGAAGTTGCTACTATGCACCAGGCAAGAGGATTTGTGCATAGCCACAGTGACCAGAGAGCAGTCATTCTCAAACCTGTTGTCACTTGTCCTCACCATGTCCCCTTTCCCCCCAGTTGCATGGCACACAACAGCTTTGTGTGATGCCATTCTGCTATATTTCTTGATGGCACTTGTCCAAGTGGTGCCATTTTCTCTGTTACACTAGTATGAGAACTGATATTTCTACTTTGGAACAAGGCAGCTGGTAGTGGCAATGCACTAGTGCAGTGACTGCTATTATATTCCATGCATAATACTCATTAGCTCAAGGGATTTATTAGATTAGTCTACTATATTTTTTAAGGTGGTAAAAGAAGAGAGCTAACTGCATTTCTAGGTATTGTTATGAAGTCCCAATGAACAGAAAATCAAGAGAGGAACGCTTGAAAGTTCATCTCCTCATCTTGATAATGAGCCCAGAGAGGTTTCATTTTCCCAGACATTTTGAGTGACCCAAGTCCATTTAGATCACTTGTTTCTCAGGATAAAAAGTGGTTAGTGAATTGTCCTGTAATATCCCCATTGCATATTGCATATGCTGTGCTTTTCTGGCAGGTTTCTTTTTCTCCCATTTGTAACATGCTTTTTCTGCTTTGTTGTGATGATGACTCTTTCCTACAATTCCCTTCTAGATCCAAGGCATTTCCATCACCAACCAGGAATTTGGCCTGAGTGAGACTGAGCCTGGCACAAACTTTGTCTATGCCCAGTTTGACGGCATCCTGGGCTTGGCTTACCCTGCCATTTCTTCTGGTGGTGCCACCACAGTCATGCAGGGGATGCTCCAGCAGAACCTTCTTGATGCTCCCGTGTTCGGCTTCTACCTGAGCGGGTATGGATGCAAAAAATTCTTTTTCTTTTGCATTTGCCTTGCCTCCATCTATCCCTCTTCTAAGTTTCTCAGGGCACCTTTCAGTAGGGAAGGATGACTTGGTCTTTTTCCAGTCCATATCACTTTCCCGCTTTGTTCATTCATAAGTACAAATTTTAAAAATCTGCATGAAGATTCATATTTAAATACTTATTTTTGAATATATTTTTCACAACATGCTTTTCTGCATATATTTTCTCACAAAATATGCACATTTTTTTACAATGTGCACTTTAAAAAGCATTCTGATTTGCTTTTTTGTGTCAAAAACATTTCTTTGCAAACTTCAGAGAAAGGTGAAATCTGAAGGATATCTTCATTCTGATCCACAGGCCAGTCTGGGAAGGGCAGATCATGTCAGGTCATATTGGAATTCACAACGCAAATTCCTCAGGCATCCTTATCTTTCAGGAAAAGTCAGTATAAACCAGAAGCTACTCTCCTATTTTGTTGCCATTGCTTTAACCTTGAAGTGTACCTTCCCCCATCAGTGATGGGCAAACTAGACAAAGGAAGAGAAACTCATTGGGAATTATTGACTCACTTCTATCATAAGTTCATTCATTCCTGTTCAACACTATCCAATGACAATCTCCCCTCATTGGCCATGGTTGGTTCTCTTTGACTACAGCTTTCAGATTCAACAGACTGTTTACTGAGAACCAGTATGGTGTAGTGGCTTGAGTGTCAGACTTGAACCTGGGAAACCAGGGTTCAAATCCCCGCTCAGCCATGACACTTACTAGATCACCTTGGGCCCGTCACTGCCTCTCAGCCTGACCTACCTTGTAGGGTTCTTGTGGGAGTTAAATGATGAAGGGGAGAACCATAAATGCCACTTTGAGCTCCTTGGAGAAAAAGGTAGAGTATAAATAAAAATAAATAACAATTTACAACAGTAATGGGATTTTTGAGGCATGTCAAATACAAAATAGTCCTTTGCTATTTTGTACAAATGCTAGGGCTGAGCATCTAGCATGAGGGAGAATTACTAGTCCAAGGTCCAACATTCTCACCAATATATGCCATTGCCTCTGATGATGGACCTTGGTTGCAAGGTTATAAAGCCACATATCTATAATAGCATTCAGTTCAAAGTAACTTAAACATAAAACAAAGGAGATGTTTGCTGCTCTTTGTAAAGCACCTTCCATTTTAGAGTCTCTCCAGGTTGGATCCAGGCTTACAGTGCAGTCCTGGCCATGCCTACTCAGAAGTCCTATTTAATTCTGTGGGGTTTACTCCCTTATAAGTGGGGTTACGATTGCAGCTTTAATCATGCTTAGAGCAGACCCACTTTAGTCTTGTCCCATAAATGGCGACAGGTCTACTCTTAATTATGGCTGATTCCAGATCCAGCTTTCTGTCTTTTTCAGTGAATGTATGTAAATAATGAAGTGTTTCCCCTTCTTGTGCATTTGTCCTTCTAGGCAAGAGGGCAACCAGGGTGGTGAACTTGCTTTGGGAGGAGTTGATTCCAGCCTCTACTCTGGTCAGATTGTCTGGACTCCAGTCACCCAAGAAGCTTACTGGCAAATTGCAATCGAAAGGTGAGACTATTCTCATAGATAATGTCTACTGGGAGCCTGATCAGGCTTCAGTAGAGGCTTGTGGTTGAAAACCTGGACAGTTCTTTGATTTGAGGTTTTCCCTTGAACCAGCTGAGTAATTTTCCCTTGGGCCAGCTGAGTAATTTCCCCCCATCTTATTTTGCATACCATGAAACATGATCCAAAGAGCATTACTACTACTACTACTACTACTACTACTAATAATAATAATAATAATACTTATACCCTGCCCATCTGGCTGGATTTCCCAAGCCACTCTGGGCAGCTTCCAACAGAACACTAAAATACAAATATCCTTTGCTTATGCTGAAAATTATAGTTCAACAATCTGCAAGCATATCTTATTCCATTTATTTCTGGCTCTGGCCCTCTGCATCTTCCAGGACACAGAAAGAAGAGCTGTGATTATTATAGCCCAATTACAAAAACCTAAGACTGCAATCCTGCTTTTGGTTATTATGAAAAGCTCAAAACCATGGCAGCTTTGATGATGCCATGAAAACATCAAAAGCAAGCCAGGAAGCATGACATCCTATGGTCTTGCGGCTCCTTGATCTTAATAGGAATATAACTGCTGACAACTTTTTTAACTCTTCCCCTCTAGCTTCTATATTGGCAACCAGATCAGCAACTGGTGCAGCCAGGGATGCCAGGCGATTGTGGATACTGGAACGTCCCTCCTCACTGCTCCACAGCAGGTCTTTGGAGAGCTGATGCAATACATTGGAGCCGAGCAGGACAGCAATGGCGAGGTAGGGGGGGACGCAGCTGTGGATTGGGGGCACGACCACTTAGCACCAGTAATCTGAAGATGCTCAGTCTCAGCACCCATGAAACTTAGCATGTTCTTGTTTGACCCCACACAGTGGATACAGTTCAAAGGATCATGCAAGGAGTGTAGACTCAGGGAAATATATTTCTCTTATTTGGCTGGTGGGGTGGGAGTGGGGACAGTGGCAGAGAAAGCCACTCAGGGCAAGGGCGAAGCGAGCTGCCCATAGGGGCGGGGAGCACCACAGGGCCTCTGGAGTCTGCCTGCCTCCTCCTACTCAGCCGCCCTGGTGGACTGTTTGGGCAGCGCAGAGCCTGTGCATGCCCAAGCCACCGCATCTTTCCCAGGAGAGACGCATGGCTCGGGTGCGCTACAGGCCCCACAGTGAGTGCTGCCCGGCATTTTGTCACCCCCCTCAGTGGTGACACCCGGGGCGCCCAGCACCCACCACACTCCACTTCCTCCGCCCATGAGTGGGGAGTGTTACCAGCTGTCAGAAAACTCCTCCATCATCTTCCTGCCACAAACTCCCGCCTTGACTTTGAAGAAACCATTGAAGACCTGCATTTCAGTTTTAACCACCAGGGAAAGGGCACCTAAGGATCCTCATTTTTTTAGTCAGTGGTGGTAATGTTTGAAGTGCAATAGTGATTGAAATATGCTGCTGCATAGCTCTTACCATACTTCTTCTCCCACAGTATGTGGTCAGCTGCAGCAACATCCAGAGCATGCCCACCATTACTTTTGTCATCGGTGGAAGCAGTTTCCCTCTGAGTCCCTCAGCCTACGTCCTTCAGGTATGTGAAACCACTGAAAAGCTGTTCCCCGTTAGTTAGTTAGTTAGTTAGTTAGTTAGTTATTTGTTTGTTTGCTTATTTAATAATCCACACCTTCACAAAAAATGTGTTATTTGTTTATTTATTTAATAGTCCTAATCCACACCTTCACAAACAAATATCAAGGTAGTATACAACATGTAAGAATAAAATCAGTGAAAAGCATTAATGGAAACATAATTAAAGACATCAGTTAATACTGATTGATGGCACCAGGCACTGGAAAAGGTTTTATCTCTTTGCTGGTGGGTGTTTCAGGACTCAGGGCTGGTTGTCTCATCCAAGGACTTGCTTCTGGCTAAACTGCCTATGTGGCTTTTCATCCACCTAGGGGAATATGTGATGTAAAGCAGTCTTTAAAAATAACCACTGGGAAACGTAGTTAGTGTCTATGCCAATGTAGTAGGATGCAGGTGTAAAGTGCTTGTACCCTAGTGATGGAGAACGTACCTGGACCATTAATTACTGGGATGCTGTTTGTACCCTTCTGACTGCAGAGCAGTGCTCTTACACCTCTGTGTAGGGTCAGTGTGCAACAGTACTTTAAAGGTAAAGGTACCCCTGCCCGTACGGGCCAGTCTTGACAGACTCTGGGGTTGTGCGCTCATCTCACTCTATAGGCTGGGAGCCAGCGCTGTCCGTAGACACTTCCGGGTCACGTGGCCAGCGTGACGAAGCTGCTCTGGCGAGCCAGAGCCGCACACGGAAACACCGTTTACCTTCCCGCTAGTAAGCGGTCCCTATTTATCTACTTGCACCCGGGGGTGCTTTCGAACTGCTAGGTTGGCAGGCGCTGGGACCGAGCAACGGGAGCGCACCCCGCCGCGGGGATTCGAACCGCCGACCATGCGATCGGCAAGTCCTAGGTGCTGAGGCTTTAACCCACAGCGCCACCCGCGTCCCTAATAACAGTACTTTACACAGCTGCTAATGCAAGTTTGCACTCTTACAGATACCTTTTTTAAAAAATATATATTTTTTATTAATTTTCCAATAAAAACAGCCAATTAACATATCCATCAAATCATAATCATAATCTGATTATAATCCAATTAAAAACAATAAACTAAAAAAACACACAACCAAATTACAATCCAAATTATTAATCATTAATTTGTTCTGGGCTTCCCATAGTCTGGACCTCTGAAGTATATCTCCAATCTTACAGATACTTTTTAAATAAAAGCCAAACATTGACCAAGAAAAGGGCAAAAATCTTGAAATTCAACATTGAGGTGCAAAGTTTGTGTGCTGAAATGTAGTGTTCTCTCATTACTCTGCAGTTTCTTATTTATGCCATGAAGTTGATGACAACTCCTAAGCCAAATAGATTTAACTGTGATTTTTCTTTCACAGAACAACAGCGGCTATTGCAGCATTGGCATCATGCCCACTTACCTGCCATCCCAGAATGGACAGCCTCTGTGGATCCTTGGTGATGTCTTCCTTAGGTCCTACTATTCTGTGTACGATCTGGGCAACAACCAGGTTGGATTTGCACCTGTAGCATAAACTCCCCCAGAAGTCTTTTGTGCTGCTCCAGGCCTCGTCCCGCTTCATTCCACCTGCTTATTCATTCTGATACATGCTGTAATCCACCAGCCTTCCTTTCTAAGGACTTGGAGGTGTTTCCTCTGCAAAAATTTGAAACCTCTGCTGTGAAAATCCACAACATGACTGCTGGGCTTCTCTCCAAAGTAACTGCAAGCAAATAAAAATATAATCTAATCATACAAATAACAATTTGAGTTGTATGAGTTCTTGCCTGACTTGCTTGGGGGGAAATGTTATTATTATTATTAAATATTTGAATGTGTGTGTGTGTGTGTGTGTGTGTGAGAGAGAGAGAGAGAGAGAGAGATTGATTCACAGACACATCATAAACATAAGTAAGATACTTTTAAAAAGGAGTAAAACAGTTGAAAATAGGTTTTAAAAATTGTACTGTATTAAACATAATACAAAATGTACACCAAAGGCAGAAACCTTTTCATCCATCTGGAAAAGTCTGGAAGAGCAAAAATGTCTTTAATTATTTCTGGAAAGTATAGCTAGTAGGTACCTATCATTTCTCAGTGGGAATGTTGTTCCAGAGAACAGGGGCAGCCACACTGAAAGCCCTGCTCTGCGTTGCTGGAGAGTGGCAGCATCAGATTTAGGGCAGTGTGGGAAGTTCCCCCCGATAGGGTGCTAAGCCAAGGGGGCACAAAATGGAGAAGATCCAAAGTTGAGAAGGTCCGTTTGGGGGGCCCCAAATTATTGCCTCACACAGGGCACCATATTACGAATGATTACCAAAGTCCGCCCCTGAGAGTAGGTTTCTGAAACTGCTGACGAAGCATGATGGGGAAAAATGTGACATCTCAATGTTTTCCCTAAAGCTGCAGAATTTTACATTCCCCTAGGCCCTGGGGAGGGTTACCAAAAATCCTTTATATTTGCATATGTAAACTGCTTTGAGAGGTTGGGGTTTTTTTTTGGGGGGAGGGGGTTTAAATCAAATTTTATGAAATAAATAAATAATTTCACCATCACACTACCCCAGAATTATCCCTCCACTAGGGTCTCCCAGGACAGAGAGACCAGCACAACTGGTAGTGTAACAACAAACTGAGGAGCACTTTTGAAAAGTCCATTGTTAAAGTCAGAATGGAACTTCAGATACTTCCTTTAAAGTCGGTGGGTATAAAAGCTTACCCATGTATGATTTCCCCCCCAATGAGCAGATCTGTAACCTGCAGGTAACCTCCTGAGCTAAGCAGAAGCACATCACACAAACCCTCCAAGTGCCCCTATTTTCCAGGGACAGTCCCGGATTTACAGAAGCCGTCCCAGTTTCTAATTTGAACTTGGAATGTCCTGCTTTTCCTTAGGACGTCCCTATTTTCATGGGAGAAATATTGGAGGGTATGGCAGGATATCCCTATTTTCATCGGATAAATGTCCCCAAGCCAAGGAGATAAGTAACTATACATCCTTTAGAAAACATTTCAAGGCAGCCCTGTAGAGGGAAGCTTTTTAATGTTTATTGTTTTGTTATGTTTTTTATATATGTTGGAAGCTGCCTAGAGTGGCTGTGGCAACCCAGTCAGATGGGTGAGGTATAAATAATAAAATTATTATTATTATAGAACAGGACGTTCCTACTTTCATCAAAGAAATGTTGGTGGGTATGCATCACAGGGAGAGTTAATGAGCTCTACTGGCAAATGTATGGTTCTCCATATTATACTGTTTTGCTGATGACCCAATCTGTGAGCAGCAAAACATGTCAGGGATGCCAACCTTGGATTTGATTTCCTTGAAATAAAAGTCATTGGAGATTTCGGAGATTTCTATGATATAAGATTTTCACCTATTAGGCTGAGCCTAATAGGGAAGGTTTACAGCAGTAACACTCCAACAGATCCTGCTTCACATCACATTTATAGGGGTCCACTAAGTCTTTCTGCCTCTCTCAGCTCCATTTCCAATACTTCCTAGCTATTCCTACATCCTTTCTGGAATGCTTCTGGGTTCAAAATCACAGTAACAGAAGCTCAGCTAGAAAGCTTATGCAGATTTGGGAAAGTACCACCAGGGCCAAGAGGATACCAACATGGTTAATGGACAGAGTCAATGAAGCTGTTAGAGACAGAAAGGCTTCTTGAGAAAAATGATAGTCTTGTGAGGGGAACAAAATGGAAGACAAACCTTGGCAAAAGAAATAGGAAGCCTATAAGAGATGGGGGAAAAGAGAGGAGCACATTGCTAAAAACATAAAGACCAACAACAAGCATTCTTTAAACACATCAGGAACAAGAAATACAATTAAGGAAGTGTCAGATCTTTGGATGAGAAGGGAAACAAAAGTGTGCTAAAGGAAGAAAATGACATTGCAGAAAGGCCAAATGAATTATTTGCATGTGTCTCCACAGGGAAGATGTAGGGCAGATAGCTATGCCTGAACTTAGGAAGGGAGGAACTGAGGTAAATAGTGGTGACAACAGATGAAATCCTAGGCCTAATAGATAAATTAATAACTGCCAAGCCTGGATGGTATCCACTCAAGAGTTCCCAAAGAACTCAAGGCGAAATTTCTGAACTCCTTAACTTTTCCATGACAGCAGTCTCATAGTTGAAGACAGCAAAGCAGCCAAAATAACACCAAAAGTGCAAACCAAACCAGGTTCCAAAGCTCTTACTCCAATAGTTCCCTCCATAGTCTTCCATGTGTATGAGGTAAAGGTAAAGGTAAAGGAACCCCTGCCCGTACGGGCCAGTCTTGACAAGACTCTAGGGTTGTGCGCCCATCTCACTCAAGAGGCCAGGGCCAGCGCTGTCCAGAGACACTTCCGGGTCACGTGGCCAGTGTGACATCGCTGCTCTGGCGAGCCAGAGCCGCACACGGAAACGCCGTTTACCTTCCCGCTATAAAGCGGTCCCTAATTTATCTACTTGCACCCGGGAGTGCTTTCGAACTGCTAGGTTGGCAGGCGCTGGGACGAACAATGGAGCGCACCCCGCTGCGGGGATTCGAACCACCGACCTTTCGATCAAGCAAGCCCTAGGCGCTGAGGCTTTTACCCACAGCGCCACCGCGTCCCTGTGTATGAGGTAGTTGTCTCCTATATTCTTCTCTGTGCATATATGAAAAAAATAGTTGCCAACCTGCATAAAAGGATAAAGGCATAAAGCAGCATATATTTGACAGGTCAGTTTTCCCACTAGGAAAGTGTCCAACTCAGGTATATCAAGAGTAAAGGATAAGTCCATCATCTGAGTGCCAGCACCTGCCAGTCTCCAAAGAGATCAACAGCTCTTCACAACACAGAGTTGTTGGTTAGAATCATTTATTGTCCCTAACAATGCTAGCAAAGGGGACACTGTATATTAATTGTATTAATTCTATTTCTGCAAAGACTCCAATACCCCAAGGTGTGCACGATATCACATTGCCACCATAAGTGCAGAAAAGTTAAATTCACAAGCTAAAGATTCACAAACTGAATGGAACCTCTCTCCCATCCTAATAGAATCATAGAATTGTAGAGTTGGAAGGAACCCCAACTCTAGCCATCTAGTCCAACCCCCTGCAATGCAGGAATCTCAGCTAAAGCACCAATGACAGGTGGCCATTCAACCTCTGCTTAAAAACCTCCAATGGTTTGGATCTTTCTTACAAAATGACACTGCATGCAGGGATGTGCCTTCAATCCCATAAATCCTAGTAGCATGAATGCAGGCATTTTTGTACTTAGTACAGTGGATATTGGGCTCAGGGAAAAAGTGTGTGTGGTTTGCATGGTGTGTATGTGTTGTGTGTGTGTGTGTGTGTGTGTGTGTGTAGCCAGTGAACCCCATTTGAACCAGTCTATAATTGGTCAGAACAATGGAGGGTATCTCTTACAGAATATCATGAACTAGATGGTCTTGGGTGTCTTCTATTGGCTGATTGAAAATGATGTGGAAGTAGAGTTTACTTCCTGCCTTTCCCATATGAAATTACCCTTAGGAAAATGTTTTAACTGGTGGAGATCATGACCTGGGGCTTCAGGTGTGTAGTGCCTACTGCCTAGCTTCTTTAAATGGGAGCCGCCATAATGACCTGTTACTGTCTGAAGGACAAGCTGCAGATGCATTCAAAACATGAGGCATCAGGGAGCTCCCCTGTATTAGCTGTTCTACGCTGTGGGTGGCCAGATGCCCTATTTTTAAAAGTTTATAATTTTTTTTAAAAAAACAACCAAATAAATAGCTGAATCAAGGCAGTGCGCAACCCCCAGAGAACTTCATAAGTTGTTGTTGTTGTTTTAGAAAGTGTTTCCACATGGATTTGTAAGGATTTTCCATTTAAAATCCACCTGGAAATGGAATGAGATAGAATTAGCCCCACTCCCTAAGAAATTTGGATGGACCAGATTTTGATGGGCCCATCTATTCTTACCTACTTCCCCCAAAAGTTGAATCTTTTGGAGTTAAGAAAGTGATGCGAAACTGAAGTGGAAAGTGTGGGATATGGATAGCTTGGCACACTGTCCCATAGCCACCCCCCCAACAAAAAAAATCAGAAAGTGTGTTCAATAAACAGCCGACATTGCCCACTTTGTGCAAACAAATTAGCATGAATGCTCAATAAGCAGGTCATCTGTAATTGACGCTAATCTGGAATAGTTTTTCACACTATTCAAGCTATTCTTAAATTTTATCTGTGGGTGAAGAGTTCCCTGAATTCCCTGAATGTGCTGACAATCCTTCAGACCTTCCCACTCAGTGTGGTGGAGAGGGTGGGACTGGCATGCACAGATCTTCCATGGAATAATTTAAAAATACGCAATGAAAATGTGTTCATGCAACAGAAAACAGCTATTTCAAAACCTCATTAAGTTCTATTAGGGAACTCGAGCTGTTGACAATTATTATCTTTGACATACTAATCAACTGAAAAATCTAGATATTAAATGTGAACTGATCACAGCTTAGACCCAAACATGGAATTAAATATAATGTTAGCAAGCACAGCTTCCCAAGGGCATGGCTCAACATGGCCCAATACCTTAGTGAAGATAACCTGGAGTTACAATATTTGTTCGACTCAGTGTATAAAAATGGAATGTATCTAGCCACACTTAAATACCCAGCTGTGATTATCAAATTGTCCTTTATTGTTTCTGAAAAGGGTAGGAACAGATTATAAGGAATTTGGCTTATTAATATCTTATCA